GTTTGAGGGGAAATAAAATACTGGAAAAATGCTCACCAACATCATACAATTTTAATAAACCAATCTAATTTGAAATAACAAATAACAGGGCGAAGTCTTATATCTCATATCTAGTTGTTTGTAAATAGCTCTTAGAAAAATATAAAATACATTAAATATTGTTTTAATAAGTCAATCATCCTTTCCTTCACTTTTGGCCGCAAATAACAAAATGGAAATATGGATTTCTAGTGTTGAAGAAAATATTTTTCAAATTTTCATATCAATAAACGAATAAGCACCACACTGTCATCCAATACTACTATTTGGATGTAATAGTTTTTAAAATTTAATTTTTTTACAAATATATTTATATTCCGTGCTGGACTCAATTATTTGCATTATATATATATATATATATATATGCCTCTGATGGACAACGACGGCCACAAGAATTGCCATTTCTGAGTCATATAATTAATTCCTATAAAAGGAAACCGCGAATTGACCACTCATGGGATAAAGTCAACAAAATACAATATTGTGTTTTCTTAGGTTTATTTAGTTTTATACATTAATTGGACGAGCCATTTTCTATTGGTGACTAAGACGCTTCATTCAAGAGGTCAATATCCATTTACAAAGCAGGAAAAAAACAGCGTTTTGGAGATGTCATTATCGACTGACTATAGGCTTCTCCAATTATGGAAATTGGAATCATCAATCATCTACAACCCTTTTTAATTAATTACTGTTTAGTTACATTTAACAGTATAAGTGCTGTTATTAAAGATGATTGACCCAGTATTACCTCTATAATTTCACCCAAAAAAGAATAATTACTTGAGTGGATATAATTAACTATTAAGATTACGTAATCTATTTTATTATTAGCAAATTAGGCGCCATCTTATGGACCCGTTAGATCTAAGACCTCTGATTTTTTCAGAGTTCGAAGAGAAATATGGGTTCGAGTTACGTTGAAGGGTAAGTGTGAAAATACTATAGATCCTCAAAAATTTAAAGAGATTTTTTCTTAAAAAAAGAAGAAGATATATATGTAAATGATTGTAATTTTGTGGCACTACATATATATTTCTAATCATCACTGACGAATAGAAAAACTATGAGAGAGACAGTGATAGAGAGAGCATCTACAATGTAATTATAGAGTAAATGAGGACATATGGAGCATGTATTTCTTATGGCCAATAGAAATTGGAACAACTGAAAGAAACATATATGCATATGTTACGTTTAAATTGTCTCTATTAGTTTAGAAGGTAAAATAAGAGGGTCCATGAACCAAGTTTTGAGAAGATTTGCCTCTATATATTTTTGGCCTTTTATATTAGGAAGGTAACATCTTTCTCCCCTAAAGAATAACTTTTGCATCAAATTCTGCCATAATTAGTTGCTTTTTATCTATAGGATCGTATTTAATATTAAGCTAGCATTTGCACATGAATTTAAGTGTTATTTGTATATTATGCTTCTTTACAATTTTGAATTTAAGAAAATAACTTTTTTAAATCTCTTATATATAAAAGACAGATCTCTAATGTGTACAAGCAAATCTCTCGTATGTAAAAAAAATTGTAGGGTCATAAAACTAAAAATAAGTTTGTAAAGAGCCAAAAACACCAATTGACCCTAGATTTATTTGAAAAAACTTGATTTTTTTTTGAAAGTTGAAATTGTGTTTGAATATGTATTTTAAGTAAAAATAAAAATTGAAGATTATTTAGTAGAAAACTTCAATAAACTTGAAAAAATAGTCTAGAATGAAGTTTTGTTACTAGTTTCTTCTACGTGAACATTAATTTAGTAACCTTTTTACTCACAGATTGACTGAACTTCCAGTACAAATATTCTCCCGATCTCTGTTTTAAAAAGGCAGAATTGGGACATGTCCGGGGCTCGCCTCGGAGCAGAGCACTCATTAAACGCCCCCGGGCTTATATATGGGGCTTAGTTCCGTAAGACTTCGCTTCGACCATAGGGACTTATGCCCCGGATACGCCCAATGCCCAGTGTACTGGGCTCGTTTAATAGAACTTTATGCAATTGTATGTAAATAATCTTGTAAATCCTCGAATTTTCTTAATAAATCATTGATTATTCAATATTACTTTTTTCTTAAACATAAATTATTAAGTTGAGAGTATTTTATGTCATAATTAAAATACTCCCACCGTTCCAGTTTATGTAAACCTATTTCCTTTTTGGTCCGTTCCAAAAAGAATGACCTCTTTTAAAATTTGGAAACAATTTAGCTTAAACTTCCAATTCTACCCTTAATGACAAGCTTTTATAATCACACCAATACTCTGGACCCCTTTTTGATTTGTTTAGAACCACAAACTCAAAAGGTCTTCATTTTTTCTTAAACTCAGTGCCCAGTCAAATATGTACACATAAATTGGAATGGAGGGAGTATAATTATTGCATGTTATCCACTAGATTGCTATGATAGTTAATTTTAAATAAATCTTTCATTTAAAAAGTATTTATTTATTAACTTTTGTTATGTCTTTACTATATAATAGTCCATTATTTTTTTGTAATTATTTTCTAAATATTATTTTTTTCACATTTACGAGATACAATACTTATTAATTTAATAGCTCAGTATTAGCTCGTAACTACAAATAATTAGTTATCATGAAATTGTATGGTGAATTATGTGTCACTTTATTAACTTGTTGAAATTTAAAAATAAATGATGCTAGAGAATTATTTTTAAATTATGAATTATGTTTTTATATAAATTCTCTTTCAAATAGAAAGCATATTAAAGAAAAGAAGTATTTTAAGAAAAATATCAAATTATAATGTCAAAATTCTTTCAAAATTCATTAGTCCTTAAGATATATATATATAAGATTTCGTATCGAATACATTACTTTTGATGTTTGAGTTGTAACGACCTTGCAGCTAATTTGCATATTATGATATATGTCATACTTTTCGTATTATTCATAGTTGAATTATAATTTATAAATATTTTAAATAGATTATGTGTTTTAATTTTGTGAATTTAATGTAATTTTTATCATTAATTTTTATTTTATACTATCTTAAAATATTTGAAATTAATAAAATTTAAAAATCTATGAAACTTACGCCTCGTCTCGTCAAAAGTAAAACATCTCGCCTCACGCCCCACCTTTTAAAACATTGCTCCTGACCAATCTTTAGTGTAAGTAATTATTTATGTGACGAAAATCATAGGAGTAATGCATATCTTCTAAGGACATACATTAGCCTCAAGGATGTACATTAGTCAAAAATTATTGGCCAAAACACAAAAATGCAAATGGCCCAACCTAACCACGTCTGTGCCACGTGAAGTGCATATGCAACTAATAAGATGATAATTTTATTCATGTGTCTTTGTATATGTTATCCTCCTTAATTTTGCACATGCCCCATCGATCCATGATATGATTGTCCCAATATATAAGTAATGAGCATAACATTGACACTCTTATGAGCCATTTGTTCTCTTTATGTTGCATGTGTGGCCACTACGACCACGCAATTTATGGCCGAGAGAACAAATAAAAATCTATAAGAGCACTATGTTAAACCTCTTGTCTAACGTAGAAAAGAAAAAGTTGGAGACAAAAGTACACTAATAAAACAAGAAAACTAAAATTGACAAATTAGTGAGTGCTTAAAGAAAAACTAATGTTTGATTAAAGAGGGATATGATCTAAAGAATGGATATTTGCCCCCACCGAGTAAGATGGGACAAAACTCAAAAGACACAAAATCTAACCGCGCAACTATCAAAAGTGACTTTACTGCTTGTAGCAGAAATGATTAAAAAGAAAAGCATAAATAGAAAAAATGCTACTCCATACAATATTCAATTTCCTTTTAATTTGAGGACAGAAATACCCTCGCAAATACTTCCAATAGAGTAGTCATCTTCTGCCACTCCTGCATCAATCATGGCACAGCTGCGGTAGTGGTAATTAACAAGTTCTTGAGTCTCATATATAGTCACTAGAGATTCTAGATAATATGCCTTCGCCAATACCGAAAGGGCAAACTCCATATCGAGGTTATATGGGAAGGGTATTTGTTGTCAATTTGAGTGGCCAATAGGAGAGGTGAATTGGGGCATTTGGTTTCTAGGATGTGGGGCGGGAATAGGAAGGCATTATCTTGTAGGAAAAAAAAAGATAAAAGAAGAATTAATCTAAATAACCGACCACTCAATCCCTTAAACTAAACATAGTCGGTGAAGGTATAATATATACATAATTTATGTATTTTATGTATATAATCAATGTATAATCTATGTATATAACTAGAAAAAAATAAACAATGAGTATAACCAGCTATTTGTGTAAAGATCTCCGAAAAAGTAGGGAGAGATGATGTAGATGTTTTACTACTTGAGGACAAGACAAAGGCACATGAAATGGGAGAGATAGACTCTCATCTTTTGCCTTTCATATATGATGGCTGTAACAATCCACAAACCGCTAGTACGTAGTTGAACAAGAAATAGAAGTTGAATACAAATGGAGTTCGTTGTGAAGCTTGACTTAAGTAAATTTCACATTGGAATGCTAGGGGCCATATAAGGCAAGATTAAGTATTTAACGGTCAATTAAAGCGCTTTTCGAGTTAAATAATTGAGCTTAACGAAGCTAACAAAACAGTTAGGTTTCAAAGATTGGACCAAATCAAATAATACTTGGATCGATGGTAGGGCAAACCTCTGCGGAGACATTGCAACTATACTTAAAAGGGAGATAGAATGTGTGAGAGAAAGAATTGAGATATCTTAAAATGCAGTATTTTGATCCAATTTTTCCCTAGAGGACAAGATGGTCCATTCAACTTTTGTTCTTTCGTTTGTCCAATGATAGTTTATCCCTTAAGCAGCTCGCTTTCATTTCTTGTCCCCTTCTTTGTATATCGACATCAACACCCCAAAACCACTCAAAAATTTCTTACACTTTATATATTTCTTTCTTCCCAGCATTCGTTGTCCCTATCCTCATCCATCACCTGTATATATACTCTTCCCTTTTCATCATTCCCTTCACAAAACAAATCCCACTCCTCTTCTTATAACTAACTTTTCCACTACATTACCTTTTGATTATTTCACTATGCCTTCAAGAATCTCCGACGATGTTCATCAAAAACAACTTGACTTGTACACAATAAAAGAATTACCCGAATCCCATGCATGGCGATCATCATTAGATCATGATTACCAATGCAATGACTCATTAGAGTCTATTCCAGTGATCGATCTAAACGACGAGAAATTCGCAATAGAAAATATTGGCCATGCATGCAAAACATGGGGTGCATTCCAAATCATAAACCATAATATATCTCAGAGACTACTGGACAATATGGAGGAAGCTGGAAAACGACTTTTTTCCCTTCCGATGCAGCAAAAATTGAAGGCTGCTCGTTCTGCAGATGGTATTGCTGGTTATGGCGTGGCTCGCATATCGTCTTTTTTCTCAAAGCTCATGTGGTCTGAAGGTTTCACAATTGTTGGTTCCCCATTTGACCACGCCCGCCAACTTTGGCCACATGATTACAAGAAATTCTGGTACTTTCACTTATATCATCCCTCCCTCCAATTTTAATTCTCATGCACGTATACATGTTGATTAAAAGATCGTTCTTTCTCTAAAAGCACGGGGTATTTTCTTCAAAAAATAAAATTTAACCTTATTGTTGTTACTGTACTTAGCTAGCTAGGAAGCATTAACTAAAAAATTTACCGTTGTTGCTCCAAGATGAATCCAAGATTTAAATGTGTGGGATTCAAACCTTTAGGATATGTACAATTATGGTAATTGATAGGAAAACAAATATGATATGAAAGTCAAGAAAAACACCTAATATTACCTGCGAAATTAGGGGTACAATTTTTTTTATTTAATTTACAGAAACTTTAGTAAATTTTTACTTTTTTTTAAAAATCAATTTACGCCATTTGGTGAAGTAAATTTTACTTATATTTTCAAGTTATCTCGAAAATGTTACATTCAGTTGAACCCGTAATCCATTCGCATGTGAGGTGCTACCTATACTTTCTTAGTGGAAGGAGCAATCTTTTAGGTTAAAGACACGATTTTATGATCCCTAAGAAAGATTGGAGGGATACCACACTAAAAATCGAATCTACTTTTTTTTCTTTTGTTGTTTCCTAGTTCTATGTCCATAGTAGTACTGCTTACAACTTTTTATGTCATTTACAATATATAGTACTTATCTTTTTTCTTTTTTGAATTTTCAGTGACGTAATCGAAGAATACGAAAAGGAGATGGAAAAACTAGCCGGAAGACTGATGTGGCTGATGCTTGGGTCACTTGGAATAAGTAAGGACGATATGAAATGGGCTGTTGTCGGCCCAAGAGGAGGATGCTCGGCCCTACAACTAAATTCTTACCCGGCATGTCCGGATCCGGATCGGGCCATGGGTCTTGCTGCACATACGGATTCTACCATATTAACCATCCTTCACCAAAACAACACAAGTGGTTTACAAGTGTTTAAAGAAGGAAATGGTTGGGTCACGGTTCCTCCGCTTTCGGGTGCATTAGTTATCAACGTAGGTGACTTGTTACACATACTGTCAAACGGGTTATACCCGAGTGTTCTACATCGGGCGGTAGTGAACCGAACCCGACACCGTTTATCGGTGGCCTATTTATATGGACCACCGTCGGGGGTGAAAATTTCACCGCTTTCTAAATTGGTAGATCAAGGGCACCCTCCATTATATAGGTCAGTGACGTGGAGTGAGTATTTAGGGACTAAGGCAAAGCATTTCGACAAAGCACTTTCGTCTTTTCAGCTTTGCGCTCCTCGTATTGGATTTGCCAATCCCAAAGATCGTAATAGCGTCCAAGTTGGCTAATTTGACTAGTAGTTACCTTTTAATTTTTCTTTTTGGTTTCTGAAAATATATATCTACTTGTGTTCCTTTTCACTCTTTGGAATTTTTTTGTTGATATTTCGAGAGAGAATGAAAAAGGTGTAGATCGATCATTTTATCAATCTTTCTACCTGTCCTTTCTAGGAATTTTATTTATTAGTCCCTTCGTTTCATGTCTTTGTTTGACTGATCAAAAGTAATATATATAGTAAATGATTTTAGAATCTTATTATCTTATACATTAAAGGTGTGTATAACATATTAAATGAACCATTTAAATTTTGCAGTATTAAACCTTCCATGTGATTTGTGTAAGAAAATATCACTAAGAGTAAAATGTGAACTTGGAATAATTTTTTTATTAAATATAGAAAGATGATAATTTTATTAAAGATATTAGTAAAATGTATTACTTGAAAAAGAAGAAAAAAAAAAGATAAAAAGACACATAAATTGAACGAAGGGAGGGAGTGCGATACAAAAGTACTTTTAGACAATTTATGTGACAGAGAGATCTAGACTAGGGATATATTACGTAGAGAGCAAGAGTAGGTACTGTATGGGTCCAAATTTGACCGATCACGACCAACGACGAATACGATGAATAACAGGGTCTCCTTGAATTGATGTTCTAAGGGAGATGATCTTAAGGCAAATGAGAGACTGTACGACCCTTGTAATAGTGTAAGCCCATTAGGGGACATTAGAAATATTCCTTTGAATATTCCTTATAATTTGTCTTTTACTGCTTAGAAGAGTCTTGCTCTTTGTATATATACAGGAATAACCTTGTGAAAGAGAGATTCTGATTTCGGCGAAAATTACTACTTACGAATGAGAAGGTTTCTAAAAGGTTTTTATTGAAATAAGCTCGTAAAGGACCTCTCATGATCGGTCTTCTCTTTATCTATCATTCTTTCTAGAGATTATTACACTTAGCTAAGATTTACTCCTTCATCTTTGATTGATTTGTCCAAAACAGTTTCAATATCTTTTGAGTCAAACAATTTGGCGTCGGCTGTGCCGCTGTGGTGATTTCTATAGCTGAAATCGTAGTTTTCATCTAGATTCTTGAAAGAAATAACCACCTCTCTTTAGCTCCACAAAGACCAACAATGACAGGAAAAGGAGAAGCAAAGCAAAAGGCAATAGTAGGTGTCACGAACAACCTCCTGAATTCCCTCAACAATACCAGTGGGGAAGACAACGAAAACGCAACACCAAATGCTACACCTGAAGGAGAAATCTCACCTCCTCCGCACGAAGGTCTAACGGTCTCGCGCGAGAGGGAAACCTCAACATCCGTAGCTGGAGAAGCACCACCGGCATTGAAAAAGCTATTAGAAGAATGGCTAATAAACACCTTGAGCAGCATGATCGAGAAATCCGTTCAGGGAGATATCGGAGGCACATTACCCGCAGAAACCGCAGCTATCGCCGATGAGCCAGGCACTACGCGAACAAGTAACACTCATACTGTTGCTGATACAGGCAATGATACACTTACGACCATCTTAAAGAAAATAGAAGAGATGGAAAAGGAGAACAAAACACTCCGCGACCAGATGAAGGAGCATCATGAGAGGGTTGATAAAATACCAAGTGCTCCGAAGTTGTTACCAAAACACGATATGGGCTGATTCGTCGAACAACCATACAACGAAGGGGCAGCTCCCCATTTTATTCCAAAGACCTTCAAAATGCAGCCATATTTGAAAATATATGATGGCACCACGGACCCGGAGGATCACTTAATCCATTACGTCACCGCAGTAAAAGTTAACGATCTATCAAAAGAACAGGTACCATTTGTGCTGCTGAAAAAATTCGGTGAAACTCTGACAGGGGGGAGCATTGACATGGTATTCCCAAGTACCAACACGATCGATATCAACATTCGAAGAGATGGCGATAAGTTCGTCACCGCTCACGCGGGAGCGAAAAAGGCCGAGGCTAAGGTCAATGACATCTTCGCCGTTAGACAAATGACGGGCGAGGGACTTCGGGATTTCCTAGCTCGATTCAACAGGGTAAGGATGAGCCTACCGAATGTGTCAGAAGGGATGGTAGTAGCTCCCTTTCAAAATGGGCTAAACAGAAACGAGTCAAAAGCAACCAAAAAGCTACTCAGTAGACTCATGAAGTACCCCTACCATGTGGGAAGAGATCCACAATGCCTATGCGCCGAAGTGAGGGCAGATGAGGATGACCTGAACGGCCCGCTTCAGTGATTAACATCAGTCCAGCCCGAGACAAGGAGACCCCGTCTCAACGACGAGCGAAGGGATCAATTGCGACGCTTCAATCGAGAAAGGCACCAGCCTTATATCCGAGCATCCAATCTGCCTCCTCCACGACATGCAGATGTCGTGCCTCGACACACCGTACCCCTCCGAAATGAAAGAGGTATGCCTCCATTGCTATCTGCTCATAATTTTTGTGTTTCCCTTTTAGAAATAGTGTATGCACTGGAAAAGCTCGGCACTGTCACACCTCCTTTTCTTGCACACGCGAGGGCGCAAGGGAGTTTTTTCCAATTTAAGGACAATCGAAACAGGATTTGTTTATTTATTTCAGAGTCGCCACTTGGGAGATTTAGGGTGTCCCAAGTCACCAATTTTATTCCCGAATCGAGGAAAAGAATGACTCCATATTACAGTATGCATACCAGGAATCCGGATAAGGAATTCTGTTAACCCGGGAGAAGGTGTTAGGCATTCCCAAGTTCCGTGGTTCTAGCACGGTCGCTCAACTGTTATATTCGGCTTGATTATTTGATTTTATACAAGTATGAACTTATGTGCAAATTTATCTTTTAACCGCTTTATTATCATTGTTTTTTTAAAAGAAATGTGAACATCGCTTAAAACGCGTCTTTGGACTGCGTCACATGAAATGCACCCACAATCCGGAACGCGTTTTATTTGATGTTTTGGGATTTGGATTCGGGTCGCATGAAATGCACACCCAGGCTTAAGGAAGTAAAATATTAAACACGCGCCTAAAGAGACTATCGTGTTATTATTTTTGGGAAAGCCGTGAAATTCGCTAAACGACCCTCCTGAATTCTAAGTAATTTTAAACAAGTATTTACTGAGGGCCCCGCAATTTGTATTTTTATTCGGCGAGGCTCATCTCATTCTTATTTTTAAAAGAATTTGCAACGTCGTGGACATGCATCTCGAACCACGTTACAATCAATGTACCCACGACTTAGAGACACATTTCAACTCCGCTGAGATTTGGATTTGGGTCACATAAATGTGCACCCGAGTTAGGGAGAATAAATTATTAAAGGCGAGCCTAAAGCAGCTAGCGTGTTGTTATTTTGTGGAAGGCCGTAAAAATTCGCTAAACGGCATGTCCCAAAGTCTAATTATTTTAATACATACATTTAGAGGGCCCCACAGCTTGTGCATTTTTTCGAGGCTCGTCTCATCTTTATTTTAAAAGGATATCCTATAGCAACTACATTTCTTGTCGCGTTTGTCTCTACTAGTTGAAAACAGAGATAGTCCTAGTTAATTACATGCTTGCGGGCTATTTATAGCAGGCTTCAAAATGCTTTTATATGATCAGAATCCCGGCCACATACATAGGTCGCATCCCGAATTTTATGGGCCCAAACCCAACCCACACAGAATCGGCAGGGTCCTGGGCCACTGCTTTTCCGACGGACACCTGCTGGGTTCGTTCGACTTGGGCCCAACCTTCGTGAGGTTGAGAAATGCAGGCTTGTATTATTTATTCTAAAGGCAATGATTTACCAGTTATAATGAGGCAGCTTGTTGAAGGGAAATGAATTCAACTATCAAGGGGTAACTCCATACTTGGCGTGCATTAAAGGATATGCTAAATACAAATGAACCAAAGTATAAGATACAACCTACTGCACTGTAAATCCTTCTATCACCAACCTATATACACAGCCTAACACTCGACTACCATATATTGACATTTATTAGGCATAAGGACTATCTCCAGTATCCAAATAAGAATGTAAACTATTATACATTATATGAGGTTTAATCATAATAGTCTACGTATATATAAACATCTGCAGATCTTCTCCTTTACATTCATGCTCAAACTTTTCAAGTTACATTGGTAGTATAGTTGTGTACCTGGTATAGAGAACAAAAGAAGGAAGAAAATGATCAGCTGAGTGGTACGCAACGAACACAGCAACAACAGATAATACAGCAGAACACAGCAACAACCAAACAGCCACAAAGATGAAGTTCACACGTTGATCGAGCAACAGACAAATAATCCCAGGAAAATAGGATGGGAAACAAAACCAGTCGAGAAAGGAACCAGAATATTTTGTGCTATAGCCACAGAAGTTCAATAACCACCAAAGCTCAGCAAATAACCAGCACAGTTTCGACAATCAGGGAGATTAAAACTCAATCCACAGCACACAAAAACTCAATGTAGTAGCAATCACAGCTGAAGATACACAGACTTCTCTTAATGGAACAATAACAGCCCCAGTTAGGGTAACCAACTTGGTTTCTTTGTGCAGTTTTTGGACAATGTTCAGCTAAAGTATTGTGAAAATTTCTTTATGTTTTTTTTTTCTTTTCTGAAGACTAAAAGTCCAGCCCCCTTTAAGTTCTGAAAATAGCTTATTTATAAGCTAACAAACTAGTGCAGTCAAGCTGCCTGGATTCTGCCAGTTGCAGACTGCCCATACCCTTTAAACCCCATGCCTAAGCATCTTCTTGATGCCAGCCCTTTGTTCCCCACGCCTGGCTTATTCCTTTTGTTCAAGAGTTATGGGTTCATTTAAGTATTCATTTTAATTCCCATGCTCTTATGTCTTGCTCCCCATTGGCATTAATTTAATCCTATTTCAGTACCCTACTTGTCAGCTCACTTAAACTAAGCCTTTCTGTTCTTTTCGAACCCCATACTACCCTCATTAAACCCTGATTATGACTGTACTAACCCTCTGCAACAATGGGGCATTTTGAACTTCTGAAAGTCCAAATTCAAGACTGCCTTAGCCTGATTCTTTTAATTGTTTAAAAATGCAGTTACAAATTAATATTCACAGATAACGTCAAACATCCAATTAACAACACAGGTTTGTTCAGTTATGTGAAGTTGTACGAATTAGAATATTTGAACATTCAATCGTA